TAGTAGCCACTGACAACCATTCATATTGGTGGCCATCACTGTACCTTGTGGTCAAGAATCCCATAGTTTGGCTAAGCGTGGTGTGAATTAGAACTTCCCTTTGCCTGCCCTGAATTTTCCAGCATTCAGGTTCATAACCCCCTGGTTTTGGGATCAGGAGAAAAATGTCTCTCTGTCCACTTCCTCTACGCCACCATGTATAATATAGTGGACCTTTAGTCATACCAATCCTTTCATTGTCACAACGGGATTAGAATCATAGAACTGTAAAATTGGAAGGGTCCCAATGATCATCTGGTCCAGCCCCCTGCAATGCAGGAATCTCAGCTAAAGTATCCATGGCAGATGGGCTGTGAGGATAAAATGGGGAGCAGGGAGAACCATGGAGCTCCTTGGGTAAAATGCATGGGTTTATAAACATGATATATAGATTTATAATCAGAGGCAGATTTCAGATCCTGACATGGATTGGTGGCTCGCCCTCCCCAGGGATGCCTGATTGCTTCCCCATTTGTCATGTGATGACATGCCCCAGCAAGACTTGGAAACGATTTCCCTGGAAATGCTGGGATGAAATGGAGTGGCTTAGATCCTGAAGCCTTCCATGCTGTAAGACTTTAAAGTGGTACCTTGGAAGCTGAATGCCTTGGCTCCTGAACAAACCAGCTCCTGAACGATCAAAACCCGTAAGTGATCAAAATGATCAAAAACCCGGAAACGATTTTCAGAAGCCAGACATCCAGCGCGACTTTTGTGGCTTCCAACTGGCTGCAGGACGCTCCTGCAGTCAATCCGAAGCCGCACTTTGGTTTTCGAACAGTTCCGGGAGTCAAATGGACTCCCGGAATGCATTCTGTTCGAAAGCAAAGGTACGACTGTATTGAGGAAATAACCGTTAAAGATAATAAATGAAAAGGAATGTGTTGGATGCAATATAGATTTTCGTTGGAAATGTGTCTAAACTCTATAGCTCATTCTTCCCCAAACTGCTGCTCTCCAGCTGTTTTGGATTCCAGCTCCCTTCATCCCTGACCATTGGTCATGATGGCTGAAGTTGATGGAAGATAGAGGACAACAACATGAAAAAGGGCTGCCTTCGCTCAACTGACTAGTGGTTTGTCACCGATGAGTTTTTCTTCCTCTTAGGAATAAGGAGCAGTTTCTACCTGGCATCATGGCCTTTGAACCCCTTTAGATTCTGTCCCAGACCCTTCCCACAACACAACCCACCTGTTACGATGCTCAAATTTACCCAGCAATTACAAAAGCACAAAAAGAGAATTCAGGAGACGGCTATTCTATCAGTTCTCCGTCAATTGATCTTCAAAGGGCCCTTTGAAGGTGGCTGACTCTCTCTGTGTGTGTGTTTTCTGGTTTTATGAAACTTTATTTCATGTTAATTTTTAATGTGCAAAGACTTCTTTAGCTTTCATCTCATGAAGCAGCACATGCCCAAATGAGAAAGGGTTGCTCTTTACATAAAGATTCTTTTTTTCCCTTTAGAAAAAGTCATGAAATGAGTTGTCCTCAATCTTTAAGGCACTGCTGTCAAACAATCCCAGGTGCCTTATGTGGCAGCTAGAAAGGAAGGATGAGGAGTAAAAGGGCCAAAAAGGCGTTGGGATTGCAAATGTTTATTGAGGGGGGTGGGGAATCCATTTGCTCTATGCATGTTTTAGCACAGTCCCTTCTTCAGAAAGTCTGGGAGAGTTAAGATTGCTAGAGAAAGAAGGTTCTTTTTTCAATCATATGTGGTGGTTTTGTAGTAAGGTTAAAGCTTGCTGGGAAATGATATATAATGAATTGAAAAAGATGTTTAAAATAACGTTTGTTAAAAAATATATTTAAAAAGCTTTCCTTCTGGGAATTATAGGGACAGAACTATAGAGCCAGTATGGTGTAGTGGTTAAGAGCGGTAGACTCGTAATCTGGTGAACTGGGCTCGCTTCCCTGCTCCTCCACATGCAGCTGCTGGGTGACCTTGGGCTAGTCACACTTCCCTGAAGTCTCTCAGCCCCACTCACCTCACAGAGTGTTTGTTGTGGGGGAGGAAGGGAAAAGGAGAACGTTAGCCGCTTTGAGACTCCTTAGGGTAGTGATAAAGTGGGATATCAAATCCAAACTCTTCTTCTCTTCTTCAAACTGTATAGAAATTAATTCATGTATGCAACTACAGCAGCAAGAATGTTACTTGCCCAAAAATGGAAAGAAGAAGTCCCAGCAAAAGAAGAATGGATACAAAAACCTATGGAATATGCAGAAATGGTGAAACTTACCAGAAAAATAAGAAATCAAGATAACAAACTTTTTATAAAAGAAAGAAAATGGTTTATTGAATAGTTACAAATAAATTGTAAACGGATAAGAACATTGGCAGGATTATTGTAATAACCTGCAGTTTTATAAGAGTATATATTTAAAGTAGATGGATAAATGAGCAAATTAATTTGGATATGCAGAAAATATTAAAAATAAATTTAAGGAACTGCAGAAAGAGAGGGAAGGAAGTCAAGCTTTGAAATGTTAAAACGATTATCGAATTATTGAAATGTATAAAATTGAAAATCATAAGTAAAATAATAAAAAAGGAAAATTAAGATTGCTGCTGGCTTCCTCCTTGCTGCTGTTGAGCACTACCACCATGCGGCTGGAGGCTTGTACCGCAGCTGCCAGCTGAGCTGGGCTCAGAGTTCTCAAGCAGCACCTCTGTGGCGATCACTCAGGGTCCCCAAACATTTGACGGTCTATTGACCCTGTGCCACCACTGTGAGTGTTTTCTTCACTGCCACCAACCTGTTTCTCTTGGGTACACACGGAGTCCAGACAGTTGTTAACATTAACAAATAATCAAGTTTATTTTTATAGGCATGAACAAGCTTATGGTTTCAGTTAATTTTCCTTGGCAATTTCTTCATCTTAGTTCCTTAACTGTCCTATGCGTTCCTAACAACTTCAAACTGATTATTCCAACTATCTATCTGACTCCACCTAACAATTCTTCTCACTCCCTCACCACACAACTCGACCAACCCACAGACTATTCTTCCTCCTCCTTCTCCAACTCCCAACTCTCAACTGACTTCCACACAACACACAACACCGACTCTCACTCTAACTTCTCCCATCAGTTTCTCTCTGGCCAATCACATCACACTCATTTTACCCCTTTCCTTATGACCCACCTAGGAGGCAAACGCCACAACCTCCTTCTATTGAGCCCAGGGGCGCACAACCTCCATCAAAGTTCGCATTTCTTCAGGGGCAATTCACTGTGAGCCACATACCAGCAGGACCCAGGTCAAAAAGTGGGTGGGTTTGGAGACAAAAGTGAGTGAGGCCACAGCCAAAGGTTGATAAGACTGCCTCTCTGTTTTTTTGCACCAGCCACCCCTCTTGTTTTCCCTCCTCCTTGCCTCATGTCTGCTGAGCTCATCACCAACTTTTCTCTTCATACAAAGGTGAAATGGCATCACTGTATATCAGTGGGGAACTTCATGGGCCATTTCTAAGGGCATGGTGGGCAAATCTGGCCCACAGGCCAGAGGTTTCCCTGCCACAGATGGACATACACTTGAGTTGCGTTGAGTGTCTTGCAGCTTCAGTGAGCTCGTAGGTGGTTAGCGAATTTATATGTTGATCTTGACCAGGCTTCCTCAAACTCGGTCCTCCAGATGTTTTTGGCCTACAGCTCCCATGTTCCTTAGCTAGCAGGACCAGTGGTCAGGGATGATGGGAATTGTAGTCTCAACACATCTGGAGGGCCGAGTTTGAGGAAGCCTGATCTTGACACAAACACACAATAATAAGTAAGCAAATAAACCATCATCCCAGCAGCTTTCTGTGCGTCCCCAAAGCCCAGCTCCATCTTGCCTGCAGCAATTTTAGTGATTCATAGTTTACACATTGTCATGAAATCCTTTTTCTTCTGCCGCTTCTTGCGTCTTCTCCTTATCGGCCTGCTGCCTCTGTTAGAAGTGGAAGGTCACAGTTCAGGTAGCGCAGGCAAAGCAACCGTGGTGGATTTTCACTGTGATTCACTGATGGTTGTAAATATCAAAGAGCATTTCAGCAAAGGTGCCATGGGGGCAACCAAACCCATTTTCAAGAGAAACAGAACCTTTCCATCCATGCAGCTCGGTTAACACTTTCGTTCTCATCTTCAGTTCTAGTAACTTCTGCATTCGCGGGCAGCTGAGACCAAAAGGGAGACTGCTGTTTGGGGTTGCATTTTTAAGCAAAGCAGCCCAATTCCCAGTCTAATATGACAATTGGAACACAGTTGACAACCAGTCTGTGCACTTCTTTGAATTGTGCGGTTCAGTTCTGTTTGCCAAAAATGCCTATTTGCACATTTCGTGGGGGAAATGTGTACCAAATGCATATTTTAAGGTGGAAATGCACGTTTTAGGGAAAGTGTGTGCAAGAGAGAGAGAGAGAGAGAGAGAGAGAGAGAGAGCGCACATATTTTAAAAGCATACAGTTTCATGGACATATGACAGCACACATGTGAAACTGACAAGGGTCACTTCCAGGCAAACTTTTTACTGAGCATTCAACTTCATTTGTTTGCAGGGAGGCTAGATGATGTTGCACTAAGCAAATGTTATTCCACAGTTTCAAGCGCATTTCCCCATCACTTATCAAAAGTCCATATTTTTGCGGGGCCAGGGGAGAGGGTTTGTTGCACAAGAGAACCAAATCCAGCGTAATTGCCCACCCTGAGTTTTCTGGTATGCAACTGAATCCAGCTAGAAAATAGCAACAGTCCTTTAGCATGGAAGGCAAACCCTCCAACATTTCTCTGATGCAAATAGAGACGCCCTAACCCATAATGAAAATTTTTCTATTTAAACGCCACACATCTGGCCAGGTTGCCCCAGCCACTCTGGACACCTTCCAAAATATAAAAAAAAACATACTAAGATTCAGGTAGGTGGCCGTGTTCGTCTGACGCAGTCAAAATAAAAAAATTTAAAAAGTCCAGTAGCACCTTAGAGACCAACAAAATTTGTTCTGGGTATAAGCTTTCATGTGTATGCACACTTCTTCAGAGAGTACTTCTTCTTTCTGAAGAAGTTTGCATGCACACAAAAGCTTATACCCAGAACAAACTTAATTGGTCTCTAAGGTGCTACTGGACATTTTATTATTATTATTTCAAAAACATAACAAAACATTAAACATTGAAAAACTTCCCTATACGATATACGATATACAATATACGATATCTTTATTGTCATTGTCCCTTGCGGAACAATGAAATTGAAAACTACATAAAACTACATAAAACTACCACAAAACTACATAAAACTACATAAAAATTACACAAAACTACTACAGAACTACATAAAACATTCAAAAACCCCTAAAAACTCTAAAACCCCATTTTAAAATACACTATACTACAGAGACCCCTTATGCTGCGTTCTGATGGCTCGGGGGTCGGATGACTCCATACCCTCCAGTATTTGTGTGATGAAAAAAGAGATATCCTACCATACCCTACGGGACGCAGGTGGCGCTGTGGGTTAAACCACAGAGCCTAGGACTTGCCGATCAGAAGGTCGGTGGTTCGAATCCCCACGATGGGGTGAGCTCCCGTTGCTCGGTCCCTGCTCCTGCCAACCTAGCAGTTCGAAAGCACGTCAAAGTGCAAGTAGATAAATAGGTACCACTCTGGCAGGAAGGTAAACGGTGTTTCCGTGCGCTGCTCTGGTTCGCCAGAAGCGGCTTAGTCCTGCTGGCCACATGACCCGGAAGCTGTACGCCGGCTCCCTCGGCCAATAAAGCGGGATGAGCACCACAACCCCAGAGCCGGTCACGACTGGACCTAATGGTCAGGGGTCCCTTTACCCTTTACCGTTTTATGCTCCTACTATCCAACATGAGCCAAGCTAGAAAACTAGGTTATGTGTAACTCCATCTTGTTCTTAAGCAGCCCTCTCGTATAATTGGGAACATCGTTTACAGACCATGATTTGGTTGTCTGGCACACACAATGCATTTTTGTTCCAGGAATAGAGATTGAACAATAAGAAAAGTGTCACTGTGTAGGTACCGCTCTGGCAGGAAGGTAAACGGCGTTTCCGTGCGCTGCTCTGGTTCGCCAGAAGTGGCTAAGTCATGCTGGCCACATGACGCCGGCTCCCTCGGCCAATAAAGCGGGATGAGTGCCGCAACACCAGAGTAGTCTGCGACTGGACCTAATGGTCAGGGGTCCCTTTACCTTTATCTTTACCATACCCTACAACATTTCTTCAGTGAAAATTGGGGCGCCCTAAGGAAATCAGATCAGATCAAATCAGATACTGGGATGGCTTCTCTAAATCAGGAATGTCCCTGGAAAATAGGGACACTTGGAGGGTCTTGGAATGGAAACAGATGAGTCCGTACAACCCCAACAGGCAGTTCTGTGGCATCACGTCCACGTTGTCCAGCAGCCAACTGTGACATCATAGTTTCGAGGATGGAAAATGACCTTCTGCATCTCTTCAGGGGCCTCTTTTCCCATATAAAACTGCCTCCTTAAGACAGACTGCTTCTTCAAACAGGGTCCTTTGCCCAGAACCTCTTATCACTCATGAGTTTCACTAGTCATGGTTTAACTAAGCATTGTATGCATTGAGCCAGGGCATGATCTTGAGTCTTAACCACGACAGTCGGACGTTCCCTGGGTTTTTTTTAACCACTGGTGCTATTCCCCATTAATCCCCCTCCACACAACCCCACACTCACCACAATTAAATCTCAAAAATTGCTTGATAGATAGATAGATAGATAGATAGATAGATAGATATAATCAATAATAATAATAATAAGGCTGAATTTCAAAGTACATCATCTATTAAAAAGGAAGTGAAAAACACATTCCAGGCTATTAACTCCCAAATGGCATCTTAAAAAGTTTAAAGCAAATTGTTTCCAGCGGCTCAGTTTTGCTGATGGAACAACTTGATTTTTGTAACATTTTCAGATGAAGAGGAAAAGAAGAACGTGGATTGTGACACTGTCTACGATGTAGCATATTGCAGAATGCAAATTACTGTAAAGAGGCGTCGTACTGGTGCCTACAGTTTTCTTGCTTTCCCTTTTCCCATCATCTGCCTTCCTGTTTCAGGGAAGATCATACAGAGGAAGCCTCGCTATAAATAGAACCTAAGGCAAAGGGGAAATTAATTGAAACAAACAGCGCTGCAGCAGTCGGCCAATTAGCTGTAATATTGGGAGGAATGGCCAACCTGGGAGAGGGGATTACATTCTCCCCAGGACGGGGAAATGTGGTCCTCCAGAAATCGTTGGACTGAAACTCCATCATCCCTGGCCGTTGCCTATGCTGCCTGGGGCTGATAGGTGATGGAGTCAAGGACACCTGAAGGGATAGAGGTTTCCCATCAGTGTGTGTGTATGTGCTGTGTTGGACCACTTTCCATTTTCACGGAGTTCATCAACAGGATACCAAAATAAATGATCAACCACCACAAATTTCATAGATTGCGTCCAGTTTCCAAATCAACACACAGGCCAAATCTGCACCATGCATTTAAAGCAGGATGAGGCCACTTCCCCAGAGAATTCCAGGAACTGAGATTTCTTTTGCTTTTTTAAAATTAGCTTTCATTAAAGATTTTCTTGTATTACAAAACAGAAAAATAAGCGGAGAAAAGTACAATTGTGGGGAAAGAGAAGGGAAAGAGAGGAGGGAGGGAGATGGTGTTTTGTTCTTTTGTTCTGTTGCATAGTACTGGTGTAGGGGTTTGTGTCAGCATTACTTGGATAGGTCTAGATTCAGGTAGGGAGCCGTGTTGGTCTGACACAGTCGAAACATATAAAAAATAAAAATAAAAATAAATAAATAAATAAATTGTCCAGTAGCACCTTAGAGATAGGTTTGTTTGTTTGTTTGTTTGTTTGTTTTTGACATTGCAAGAGGTTAGGGGATTCAGAACTTGGTTGATTGCACTCAGTTGGTTGTGGTGTAGCTTTTTTGAAGGGGGAGGTAGGTTGTTGGGTCAGGTAAGCCATATTGATTCATGTGCCGCTGGGAACTGTAATTTGCTAAAGATGCTGGGGATTGTTCAGAGACCCACTATTTCCTCGATAGAGCTACAATTCTCAGACTTCCCTGGGAAGAGATATTGATTGTTAAACTGCTCTGGGAATTGTAGCTCTGTGGGGAGTGAACGGGGGGGGGGTCTCCTTACAACTTTCAGCAACTTTAACAAACTAAGCTCCCACAATTCTTAGAGGAAAGCCACGACCGTTCCAATCCTTCCATCATTTTTTACTGTTAGGATCACAGCAGCGCGAGAGACACAGCCATGGCTCCCCATTGTGCCCTCATGAGATCTCACAGGATGGCATTCATCCCTTGGGGTCTCACAAGAGGAAATAGAGGTCGAGGCCTTTAAAATGCCTTGCCCATGAGGCTTGAGGGCCATTTCGCCCCACAAGCTCTCCACCCCCACAGACAGCCTTCTGGGTCATGTGGCCAGCATGACTAAACCGCTTCTGGCACAACAGAACACTGTGACAGAGCACACGGAAATACCGTTTACCTTCCTGCCTCAGTGGTACCTATTTATCTACTTGCACTGGTATGCCTTCGAAATGCTAGGCTGGCAGAAACTGAGACAGAGCAATGGGAGCTCACCCTGCCATGGGGATTCGAACCGCTGACCTTCTGATCAGCAAGCCCAAGAGGCTCAGTGGTTTAGACCACAGTGCCACCCACGTATGGAATCTTGTATTCTTTGGTGGAAATGGCACTAGGCATAATCAGTATATAAAAGGAGCTCCCTTAAGGGGTCTGAAGGGAGGATTGGCTAAAGCACTCCCTAAACTCAGGTTAGGACCTCTGCCTGACTAGAATATCTCCCCCTGGTTGCCCCGTGAGACCTCTGGCTTGCACCACACCAGGGCTCAATGCTGGGTGACTCCCATGGAGGTGAACTGGGTGCCAACTGAGTGCCAACCATCAACCAACTGAGTGCCATTCCATCAATAAGAGCTGAGCAGAATAAGGAACTGACCCTTTCCCTACTGCCATGCCAACCCCACTTACCCAGTGTAGTCAATAAAGATTTGCCCTGATTTTCACCCAACTCTGGCATCCTGTCTCAGTTATTTCACTGCTCTCACCGGTCACAGAATGTGCCTGCCTGGGCAATAACACTCACCTGTCTGCTAAGGCAACAGCCCTCATAAAATGTTGGCTACAGCCCATAGTTTTGAACTGCCCATGCCTTGCTAACGGAGAATATTGCTACATCTTGCAGCAGAAGGCAGAAGGTGGTGATGTGGTTGCTTATTTCTCCCACTGTCTAGGAAACCCTTCCTCTGCCACCTCCTCCTCCTTGCTCAAAATGGCGGGGGGTTGGGAGAGAAATGTAAGCCAAGCAGAAGGAAGGAAGGAGACAAACTGAACTGACAGGTAAGCTGAGCAACAAGGGGGTTGTATGATATCTAACAGCAGTTCTGATGTGGACGTTGCTCACAAAGGTTTGTCAAACAATAGGTTGCATTATTAAATTCTACACTGTTCTCTTTTCCTTCCTCCGTGTGAACTTACCAAGGGTTGTCCTAGCTGCCAGCCTCAAGGGAGGACATCTCTGAAACAGTTGCTGGAGAATTTGAGCCTTAACATGAAGGAGGAGGTGCACATTCTGTGCATCCATGCAGCAAAGCCAGCAGACACCGTGGGATAAGTCATGGCCAGTTCCCATGACTAATTGGCTATGCTCAGTTGTGCAAGAAAATAAAAAAAGCCTCGCTCACACAAATGCAAACAGTCTACCTGTGTCAGATGTGATAGCAGAGTTCTTCTGTGAAGCGGGAAAGCTGCAATTTTGCAAGGGATAAAATTCTCAACTGTTTCCCGAAATAACAATCATAATAAATTTTCAACAACAGGGAGAATGCAGTGCATGGAACAAACCTCAAACATATATACATTCAGCACAAAGAGCATTGTACAACATAGACTCCCCCCTAGCCCTACAGAAGCAGAAGCAGTCATAAGAGTGATTCTAGCAAAACTCACCTTTAGAAATGCAGTTTACTTGCATGTCAGAAGCTGCTTATACCAGGTCAGATTATACTTGTTCATTAAATCTAGCACTGA